TTGCAAGAATCAGGTGAACTCTGAAAGGCTGCCTGTTTTTTCCTTTGGGGAGTCTACTCTGGGTCTCTTCTTCTCAAACCTATGATGTCATAACTGTTCTGCATAACTTCAAGAGTAACCAATGAACAAAAATTGTGTAAGGACCTTCTGTGTACACTTCTCTCTGAATCCCCACCTGCCAGAGATACGTCAGTGTTTCTGCCCCAGGATGGGGTAGAAGCTGATGAGAGCATGAGCAAGGATAGGGCAGGAGGAGTCGATAGGATGGTGGTTAAGATGTACTAGGAGGAGAATCCTCAGGATTGGGGTACAGTAGCATGTTGGGGAAGGTGGGGGAGTAGGAGGGGTCAGTAAACATCTCTTTTTTAATCAGGTGACTGGCTACTGGTCTTAGTGATTGAGGATGGGGAAATAGCAGGGGAAGGTTCTGGAGCTGGGGAAGAACACATGTAGATGATGAAGTTCAATTGTGTTCATGAGTTCGAGGGACCTGAGAAGTTCCCAGGAGCTGGGAGATATTTGGATATGTGGGTCTGAGGTTCAGACTAGAGAGAAATTTAGGATTCATTAACCTGCCGGTTATTATCAAAGCAAAGGGAAGAAACGGTACCACCTCTCAGCATGTCTGGACGGAAGGGGAAGAGAAGGGGGCAGGGATGGCAGCTGGGGGACCTCAGCATTTGAAAGTGGGCAAGACAGCAGAAGGGTTCCAGAAACAAGCCTGAAGCAGAGCAGGTGAGGGGAAAGGAGATGAGAGGATTGTCGAGTTGGGGTGGGGGGAAGAGTGCCAGGACGGGAAGGGTGGACAGCGCCAGCATGGCCTGAAGGGTGGGTCAAGGGGCAACATCAGTGACCCTGGAGAGGGAAACTGGGTGGGGGTAGGGCAGGAGCCTGATGGCTGTGGGGACACTCTTACTGAGTGCACACCCCAGAGCTGGCAACGCCCAGGTGAGACAGACAGGCAGGACCGTCCCTGGTGGGGTGTGGGGAGGAGCTCTGAGGATCGCCTTGGGGTTTGAAGCCACATCATAGGATTGGAGTGGCAGGGGAAGGAACCAGTAGGCAGCAACAGCTAGTGGGCTCCTTACTAGGGCCCCAGAACAGGGGGCTCCAACTCAAGGATACCTGGCAGATAGCTGTTCTGCCTCAACCCCCACATGGACCCCCATCCCCAGCAGGCGGCACCTGCAGACCACAATGGAGGACCCTTCTCCTGGCCCTCCAGCAAAGCTTTTTCCATCATGTCTGCCAACCCTGCAGTGAACATAAGGGCATTTATTTTCAATAATTTACTGGCTAAAGGGGCGCCTGGGTGGCTCAGTTGTTTCAGCATCTGCCTTCGGCTCAGGTCATGATCCCAAGGTCCTGGGATCGAGCGCCGCATCGGGCTCCCTGCTCGGCGGGAAGCCTGCTTGTCCCTCTCCCACTCCCCCTGCTTGTGTTCCCTTTCTCGCTGTGTCTCTCTCTGTCAAATAAATAAATAAGATCTTTAAAAAAAAAATAACTTACTGGCTAGAGGAGAGAGAGTAGGAATATGTATTGTCGGCCATGTGTCAGCCACTTGGTAATCACTAATTCACTCGATTCCAACATCCACCCCAGGCACAGAGAGGAATATTCACCGAGCAGATTTACTGACGGCAATGAGTCTTCCGAGGTCACACACCAGAGCCGGGTTCAAACCTGCCTCTCTCAAATACAGACCCCACGCTCCGTGCGCGAGGCCACGGGGCATTCCAGACCACGGTGAAGCCCTGCGCCGTCTCGAAAGTTTCCTACGGGCTCTAACTGTTCGGTAGGACAAATTAATGGCAGTCCTTTTAACACAAGCACAGAGGACGTGCCAGTTCCTGACGGCCCTTAACACAGCCCAGCCTGCAGTGAACCCGCTTCCTCGGCGGATTGCGCCTGTAATTACAGCTTGTGGGAGTCAGTGCTTGGCGTCACGTGGTGGCCCCCATCCCTCCTGCTGACTCTCTAATTAAACCAGCAACAGCATCTGCGCTTCGGTCCTGGCCAAGAATGAGGAGATGCGGTTCTTGCTGGAAACGGGCCCCCTTCGCATTCCCACGTGCTCCCCGGGGCCGGGGACCTCACGTCAGCCGTCTCTAGAATGTTGACCAGCCAGCGAGGCCGCGCCCCGGCTAGTCTCAGCCCGGCTCAGATCCCCTGGAAATGTGAAAGCCATCACAGTCTCATGGGAGCTCAAAGCGGGCCCTTCCCTCTGGCTCCCTAGCTGTGGAACTGTTTAGACTATTATATGGTAGAGGTACTTCTTCTAGCCATGTCCGGGCTCGGTGCCCTGCCCCTCTTAAAAGCTGCCTCATTGTGAAAATAGTTTCCAAGGAACTCATGTAGGCGCTCTACCCGTTAGGTGGGGCTGGTCATTTTGCAGCAGGGGTAGGGAAGAGGGGCTTCCCAGGGTTTGGACCCAGGACCGATGGGATCAACATCGATGAGGTCTCTAAGGCAGGGGCTTCCCTGACCCATCTGGGCTGGGCACAAGATTGCGTCTACAAATATCGAGCAATGGTAACACGCAGGCTGAGAAATCAGTAGCTATCATTTCATTTAGCTTCACGACAGCTTTATGAAGAAGGTAATATTCCTGTGCCCATTTTACAGAGGAGGAAATGAAGGCACAGGAAGATTCAGTAACTTGCCCAGGGTCACACAGCTAATAAGGGGCCAAGCTAGCATCCAAGCCCGGGTCTCTCCAACTCTGGGATCTGAACCCAAGAGGTTCGACTCTTGAGTCTCCTTGTGGCCTCAAGCCTGTGTCCTTGTAGGCCAGTGTCTTCACTAATCATTGGTCCAACACGTTTGCTGAGCACCACCTATGACTAGGTGCCTGGCACTGTACTGAACCCCACGCACCCCTTTTGCTACATGGTCATTTTGGAGCCAGAGACGAGCAAACACCAACAGCATCTGGGGATTGAGCTCAGCATCTTGAGCCTTTGCTGGGCCCCCTGCCCTGGCCTGGGGGCAGCTTAATAATCCTCACATCTGTTGCCCATGTGCCCAGAACTATGCTCAGCCCTTTCAACGTATGTTGTGTTGGAATTTGGCACTGATTCTATGCAGTTTCCCAATTCACGTGTGATTTTGATACTTCGGTGAAACAGGCATGTTCAATGTTTGGCAATAACTGGAGATAGGTGCACGATTTCTTTATATTCTATAAAGATTTTTTTATATATAGAATATAAATATTCTATAATATTTCTGTTATAAAGTATTCTGAACACTCAAAAAAGGACAGAGAATAATATAATGCAGTTTCTCCCCTGAACTACTATTAGGTTGTGAAGTCAGCTCAAGTGATTGCAGGCAAGCATTTTGAACAGGTTAGACTAGAGGCCTCAGCTCTGGAACATACGGGAAGAGCTTCAAGCATGAATGTCCTTCACGGACATTATTCTAGACCTCTGTGTGCTCGCGCATGTGTTCTGATCCATAAAATGTCTTTCTGACTACAGATCATGGTCAAAAATCCTTGAAAGTCATTGATATAATGACTACTATTGTATTCACTCTACATTTTTCACAGATATTAGTATTTTGCCATAGTTGCCTCAGATCTTTTTCCAAGAAACACACGTTATAGATAGAATTAAAATGATGCTCCCCTCCCCTCACCTCTCCTGAGCCGGTAGATGAGGCTTGGCTTAGTTACTCCACCGACTGGTCTGGCCCCTCCTGCGTGAGCCCACTGGCGTCAGCTGAGAGAGTGTCTCAGACAGGAAGGGCCGCTTCCTGGTCATACCCACACCTCGAATTCTAATCACAGGTCCTGTATGCTTGGAAATGTTTAGAAAAACAATCTAAACATGCCAGGGTGTCTTGATAAGCATATCGTGCTATTGATATAAGAGCCTAGAAATATGTAAACACCCATCATAGGACTGAGCGAGCGCCCTGGGGTCTGTGCCTCACACTTGAGAGCAGCATCTCTGACCTTCTGCTGCCCCTTGTCTTCAGAAATGAGGAAACTGAGTCCTGGGCGAGGCAGATGGTCCCCCCAGACGGCCCTGATGCAGAGAGCAGGAATGTTGGGACAGGGAAGGAAGGAATAATGGAGGGAGGAAGGAAGGAACGAACGAACGAACGAAAGAAGGAAGGAAGGGAGGGAGGAAGGAAGGTAGGAAGGAAGGGAGGGAAGGAGGAAGGAAGGAAGGAAGGAAGAAGAGAAGGGGGAGGAAAGAAGGGAAGAAGGAGGGAGGGGGGAGAGAGATAGAGAGAGAGGGGGAACGCAAGCAAGCGAGCTAGCTAGCTCCACCTGGACACACATCCCCAGAGAGCCGAAAGCCTTCCCTGACCACTCTGTAAAAACTAGCCCCCGCCCTATCCCTGTCAACCCGGTCTGTTTCTCTTCGTAGCACGGGTACCCTGGTAAACTGTACAATTATTCGCTTCCTTCCCCTCCACCCACCAGAACGTGAGGCCCGTGAGAGCAGGGAGCTCCGACAGCCTGCGCCCGGCTCCTTCCCAGGCCCGGCACGCAGTTGGCCGCGGGCGGAGAGGACGTTCATCAGTGTAAACGTGGGCAGGAAGCATTCGTCTGTTGATGGATCCAGTCGGCGGATGAAACTGGAGATAGCGCTCTTAACAAAACCAGATGACAGGCCGGCTGAGGGAGCAAGGGGCTCAAGCGCAGGGCGGCCTGTACCAGCCACAATGGCTCGCATTTATTGAGCACTTACTGAGTACCAGGCACCACTTTGAGCACTTCGCGTGTTAACCCTTTTGGTCCTCACCGCAACCCCACACGGAGGACGCTCCATTGTGTCTGTTTTCAGGCAGGCAGAGGCAGACACGGAGGGGGCCACACCACCTGTGGAGGGTCACACGGCTAGGACAAGTGGAGCTGGGATTCGAACCCGGGCAGCACCACGTCCCACCGATTCCCAGGGAGAAACTTCTAGGGCAAGGGTTTCTGGGAGACTGACTCCAGCCCTTCAGAAGCTGACTGGGCATTTCCCTGTCTCTTTTTAAAGCAATTTGAGGAAAGTCAAGGCCGGACCAGTAGCAAAACAGCCTTCTACCAGGCGCTGCAGAACTCGCTGGGCGGTGAGGACGCGGACGCTGGCGTGCAGGCAGCAGCTACGTGGTACTACTCCGTACAGCACTCGGCCGACGAGTACGCCTCCTTCTCCCGGGCCCTGGAGAACGCCACCCGGTGAGCCGCCCGGGGTCACGGAGGCGCCCCGGACTGTGCTGCGAAGGGGCAGCTTGACGGGTGTTGAGACCACCTGCCCGCTGTGGTCTCCCCACCCGGGGAGTCTGTGGTTTCCAATCACAGAGTCACTAGCTCAGAATAAAACGTGGTCCCGCCCACTGGGATCTTGGGGACCAGAAAGGCTTTAATTTTCCCTGTACTGGAGAGCTCTTTTCAACCATGTAGCCAACAGCTGTTCCTAGAGGCCCAGCCCCAGACTGGACTCTAAGAGCTCACAGATGTCCCAGTTCTGGACCCTGAGAGGCTCATCACCCAGTCAGGACTGGGTGTTGAAAAAGCTCAAGGCTGAAGTTCAGAAACCTACATTCTGGCCCCAACTTGGCCTCCAGCTGGCTGGGAAGGCATGTGCCCTGGGGGCAAGAGCTGAAGTGTGAGGGAGGGCAGGTAACCAAGGAAGGCCTCACTGAGGAGGCAGACTCCAGTTCCCCCTTAGCTCAGGCCCTCATTGCCTCCCGGCCAGGCTCAGGCAGTGGCCTCCCTGCCTCTCCTTGGCAGCACCCCTCCACCTGGCTGCCGCGGTGTGACTCTTTCCCGTAGGTCTGATTCCAGCCCGGTCCTGCTCACCACCTCTCTTCTTCATGCGATGGATCATGGCTGCCTTATGTGCCCTGTCAGACCCCAGTGGCTGGCCCCACCCCCCCTTAGGGCCTTTCCTAGAAACACTCCAGCTGCCCTGCAGACTCAACAAAAGAGTTCATCTCAACAGCCAGAAAACAGGGGTAGACAGACCCTCTGCACTGAGAGACTTTCATGGCTGTTACCAGCCTCCGTTGTTACAATATCCTTACGGCGTGGGCCCCATGGGTCCCATTTCTCAGATGAGGAGAGGGAGGGTCAAGGAGATGCAAGGACCGCTGACTGGGATTCAACACCCGCTGGGCTCCAGGCCGCCTGAGGTCTGTCTGGTTCTGACTGGGCCTGGTGCTTCTTCTAAGCGCGCAGCTTGAGCACCAGCCCACGCACGACCCCACCATTGCAAGCTGATGCTTCTCAAACATGTTCCCATCACCCCAGAGGGGGAACAAATGGGAAGCTTTGGGAATGTAGAACAGGGTTCTCCACCTCCTCGCTATGGCATTTCCGGTGGATAATTCCTCGCTGAGGGGTCCGTCCCAGGCGTCATAGGCTGTTCAGCAGCATTCCAGGCCCCTGCTCACTAGATGCCAGTCAGAACCTTTTCGTCTCCAGCTGTGACAGTGGGAACATCCCCCAAACATTGTCAAATGTCCCCTGGGGGGTGGGCGTGTCCCCAGCTGAGAGCCACTGGTCTAAATGTATCATACGCATGAAATACCCTTGAGGATATTTCCTCTGCCTTCTTTCGAAATGTACAATCCTTTTGTGTTCTGTTCCATAGTATATTGTATTTATTTTACTATAGCGTGTTTTGCTCCCAAGTCTTTAAAATTAGTGTGCTGGGAAGATGCTTGCCCCACGGGTTCCTTGTATGACCTTGAGTGACCTTGCCGGCCAGACACCAGGCTGGACCCGCTGCCAGCAATGGAGCCAGTTGGGCGAGAGGCACACCCGTGAGTGCTCTCTGCAGGCCGGTGCCGAGGCGCCTGGTGGCCCAGGGGACCCTGGCCCGGGAGAAGCATGTCCCTGGCACAGTTGTCTATAGAACGACCCATAACTAAACACCCTCCTCTGTCCTCATGTGACCAGGGACTACTTTATCACCTGTCCCGTAATCGACATGGCCAGCCACTGGGCAAGGAGGGCCCGAGGGAATGTCTTCATGTACCACGCTCCCGAAAGCTATGGCCACAGCAGGTAAGGTGGCCGCATGGCCACAGCGGGTGTTAGCAAGTGAAGGGAGTCTGGCAGGGCTCTGTGTCCGTTCTGTGACCCTCAGGGAAGCCGACGACAGAGGGCAGGACTGAGGTTCAAGTCCTGCCTCGGTGACATCGGACTTGTCATTTAGTGTCTGAAACACGGGTGTAACAGTAATCGCCACTTTCTCGCACGGTATTGTTGGAAGGACGAGCAAAATAGCAGATAGAGGAGGCACTTTGGAAATCCAATGTTAGCTCTCTTAATGGATTGACCTGGCTTGGGGGAGGAGGTTTCTTTATTAATCCTGAATATTTACGCCTCCAAAACCTGAGCACTTAGCTTCACTTAAGAAAATGGCTTTCTGAAGTATAAAAGGCTGTTTTGTTGACTTTTTTTTTTTTTGCGACAAAAGGAAAGTTTGGATTACCTCTAATCTCTATACCATTCCTACTTCCAAAATATGTTCAATATACCTTATAATAAAAGTCTCAGGTACAAAATCACAATCACAATGGAAACGAGAAATAATAAGTAAGTGAAAGAAAGCACGTGGGAAGCAAAGGGTCAACCAACGAACGGGCACAGAGTGTAGCCCTGCGTGTTCCAGAAGCCAAGGACAAGATTAAAAAATAAAGAACAATGGGAGCAGAGAGGCTGGGTGGTGGGGGAAACATCTGACATCCACCCGCTGGACAGTGATGCCAGGAGGGTAGCGGGCACATGGATGCCCAGGGTGTTGGGGGAGGACTGTGGGGTCACGTGTTCTACTTCGTCATGACCTTGCAGTCCTGAGCCATTCACCCATGTCAGAAAACCCCAGGCCCCTTCCCGGCTGGGCCAGCAACTTCCCACATAATCCGGTGTGATTGCCATAAATCACATCAGATGAGCCACTTCACGTTGGAGCTTCTTGGGGAAGAGCTCATACCCCGCCAAGGGCAGAAGAATGTGTGCTGTGATGATGGTCAGCCCTCTGGGTTAAGGATTCTCAGATAACAGAAGGTCAGGGGTCAGGGAGATGAGACATAAGAACGTCAACTTTATAGCTGGAGGTCCGGCCCCACCAGCTATGCAGAGTTGGGCAGGCTCCTTTGCCTCTCTGACCCTCAGTATCCTCATCCACTAAATGAGGCCACTGGTTTCCCTTTACAGGCTTGACATTAATAATACGTGGCACAGAAATTATTCTTTCACTTGTGTTTCTTTGCAATGACACCAAGGGAACTCCTACAAACATACCTAACTTCTCATTATAATTGGCAACATCCCTATATAATGGGCTGAATATGGCCACTGAAAGATCCCAGGTCCCAACCTTATAAGGAAAATGGGGCTTTGCAGGTGTAATTAAGTTAAAGACCTTGACCTGGGAAAATTATCCTGCATTATCCTGGTGGGCCCTAAATGCAATCACAAGTGTTTCTACCAGAGAGAGGCCAGGGAAGGTACATAGAAGAGGAGGAGGCAACGTGACTAGGGAGGCAGAAATTGGAGGGGTTGCTGCGCCCATGAGCCGAGAAACAGCAGCTGAAGAATTCACCACCCAATTCCACCAGATTCCAGACAAGAATCCACACGAGCTGCAGGAGCAAGACCTGGCTTCTCCCCTAGGGCCTCCAGAGGAAGCAGGTCTCTGTTGACACCTTGATACTTGGCTTCATGACACTGATTTGGGGCTTCTGGCCCCCAGAATTGGGAGCCAGTAAATATCTGTTGTTTTAAGCCACCAAGTTTGTGGTAGTTTGTGACCACAGCCCTAGGGAACTGATACAGTCCTTCTGATGTTCTCTATTCCCTAAGCACCCGTTATGTACCTTGTCCCCCCCACAGATTACTCAGCTTGTATAACACTTCACACAAACATCCAGAATCCTGTTGAGGTTGGCAGCGTTGAAATGGTCATTGCTATTCTACAGAAGAAGAGTCTGAGGCTCAGGGAGTTCCATGGGATTTCCCCAAGGACGAGTGGCAGTTCGTTGTAGAGCAGTGACTTAGTCCTGCCCTCTCTGAGCCCCCTGAACTCTCTTTCCACTACACCACACAGTCTTTCTGTCTCTCTGTTTAGAACTATTTATAATTCCAACCCAATCCACTTCCAGGATTCAAGCAACTGCCCCCATGTTGTAGGAAGGAAAATAAATGGCCCTTGAAGGTTCTGGTAAGAAGGCATTTGGAGAGAAAGGACGACGAAGAGAGTGGTGGTTTGGGTGAGGATGGAAGGAGCCCTCGTCATCCAGGGGCACCCATGGTTGGGAGGCCCCGCATGGGAAGCTGTTTGTAGAAGAAGCCTTGGCCGTGTCTCCCAAATGCCAGGGCTCCCGGGATTCGTGCCCAGGGCAGGAGTCTGGTTCTCTGCCTTCCTCCCTGTTAAGGAACAGATTACAACAGAAGGTCTGATGCTCTTGCAGCAAGTCCATCAAAAGCTTTAAAACGTATGCATACGCCATTGGGCTCCAAAATATACAGTGGCAAACCCAGAGAGGCATCTGCTCCCTGAGGACCAGAACGATCAAAGCAAAACAAGACGGAAGGATCCATGCGATTCTAGCCAGAATCAATAATGCTTTTATCCCACCCATATTAGTTTCCTGGGGCTGCCTTAGCAGTGTCCCCCACGCAGGTGGTTTATAACAACAGGAACGGATTGTCTCACAGTTCCGGGGGCCAGAAGTCAATCAAGGTGTCATCAGACTCATGCTCCCTCTGGAGGCTCTAGGGAAGGATCTGTTCCAGGCCATTCTCCTAGCTTCTGGTGGCCTAAGGCATTGCTTGGCTTGTAGATGGCCACCTTCCTGCTGTGTGTCTGGGTCGAAATTTCCCCCTTTTTATCACAACACCAGTCATATTGGACTGAGGCCCAAGCTACATCCTCATTTTGACTTAGTTATGTCTGCAAAGATGCCAGTTTTAAAGAAGGCCATATTCTGAGGTCCCAAGGTTAGGTCTCCAGCAAATCTTTTTTAAGGGGACACAATTCAACCCATAGCATCGCCCTTCTCTCTAAAGTAACAGCCTTGCTGGTGAGGCTCCTGAGTGTCAAGGGCCCAGAGGGGTCTGTTTCAGACCTAAACATGAGGTAGTCCACGGGAGTGGGCTCCTCCAACAGACTCTGAACCACATCCTCATTCTGGCATGGCCAGTTTGGGTTTCTCTGCTGCTGAAGAGCATCCTCATGCCCCTCCGGGGCTCTGCAGACAGATCTCCACTGTACTGATCCAGGGAACCCCCCCCACCCCGCAAGGAAGCCATGCTCACAAGCCAGACCCTCACAAAAGTGCCTCCTGGGTCCTCACAGTCACCATGCCTCAGGGCCTGGGGACCCTCCTGGCACAGAGTAGTAGGTGCTCAAGAAGTCATGTTGAAGCCGCTCCAACCACCTCATTTGACAGGTGAGGAATGAATCCTTTCCACTCTGGTCTATAGGCTCCTTGGGGCTCAGTTTTGCCATCTGCACAATGGAAATAAGGAGGTGGGAGTGGTCAGGAGCACAGATTCCTCCCTGGGCTCTTTGGGACCCATTCTCTATACCTTGGAGCCTGAGCTCCCAGTAAAGCATCGAGTTTATGGAGGTTAGAGAGGTATGAACCCCAAGGAGCCCAGTCACCCTAAGTGACTTCCAGCTGTCACATTCTACCATTTGGGGGGACAGAGACACTCAGAGGCACCCATACATTCCTCAGACAGAGCTGTTCCTGTGTGTACGGAGGCAGAAAGTATCCTGGTGATGCAGCCTCTCTGGGCCAACTGACTCGGTCAGAAACCCAACGCAAGTCACTTAACCTCCTTGGTGACTCCATTTCTTCACCCACCATGCGAACGGGACCTGCTTCGGAGGGTCAGTGTGATAACGGATTTGCACACAGAATGAGCTCTGGCAAAGAGGAAGCGCAGAGGTCGTCCCATTCTTCTGGCCCCTCAGAGTGCATTCTTGACGACCCTCTGTGTCTATGTCCTCTCACCCCCCACAGTCATGGGATGGTGCCACCCACAGAGTAGATGCTGAAATCAATGAATGAATCACGGAAACTAACCCAGTTAATCACTGGCAAGTGTATCCTTTTTGCCTGAAAAGACATCTCTCTCACTCTGCCCTGGCGCTGTCACACCTCTCATTTATTTCTGGCTCGAACCTACGGACTTAAAATATATGTGCCTGCCATACGCTTTCAGCCATCTGTCCTGTACCTCCATTTCTGTGAGCATAGATTAGCTTTCCTGGCATAGCGAGTGCACAAAACGCAGTACATTACCACTTTCTCAAGACTCCTGTTAATTGATCACAGCATAGCATGGTTCTGTAATGGCTCCTGGTTTACGGATGAGATTTTCATCCCTGAAGTTGAGGGCCAGCCTCTGTGAGGAAGGAATAGGTGTCATGGGTGGGGGAGGAGACAAAGAAACTAAAATCTACAGTGGGAGAAGAAGGTTCCATTTTAAGATTTAGATTCAAAGAATCATAGACTATGGAAATTGATTTCATCTGACTCCTTCATTTAAGCCCCGATGTAAAGAGCCAGCCACTGGCAGTCTAGACCCAAACCCTGTCACTTGCCCTTGCTCCAGTTTTTCTTTGATTGGACCCTTCAACCCAAAGCTTGAGTGTTTGCCATGGCTAAGTCCACTTACTAACTGTGTGACCTTAGGCAAGTTGCTGAACCTCTCTGAGCCTCAATGCATCCTCACCTATACACAGGGAAAGTCATAGCTCTTGTCCCACAGTGTGGCTAGAAGGATTTAGGGGAACAGTGCCTGCATCTGAGATGTGTGTGTGTGTGTGTGTGTGTGTGTGTGGTTGTGTGTGGTTTTGTGCCTACAGTACCTGGCAGCTTTGGTTTCCAAGGCTACTAACATGAGGCTAAAACTTACCAGCTTTCTCTTGCTCCACTCTGCTCACTGGGGAGATTTGGGGCCAGTTTCGTCCATGGTTACTATCTGTAGCCCTCTGTTTCAGGAAGAGGGATTTTCGCTGATGACTATAACCCAGGCCTTCCCAACTT